TTCCATCTCCAGTATTTTGCTCATGGGGATTTTATATCTCACCCCACCAAATATTTATTTTTGTTTTTAGGTTGATAATGCAACACCCTATACCCTCAATATAGAATCGAATACGACCTTATCAATAGGACGAGAGTCAATTGAAGCTAAATTAAGTGCAAAAGAGTGATGGCAGGTAGATTGAATATTTTGAAATAAAATATTCTAAATGTGAGAACATAATAATAAAATAATAATTTTTTATCGGTGATGAGTTAGTGGAGCTAAAAGGCGATTTGGAAGTGAATCGAGGAAAAGTGAGACATGTAACACCCCGTAACCTCATTTAATGATCGATGAGACTCTATTGAGGATAATAAAGGGTATTTGTAAGTTTGAGTATTAGAGAACGACGAGGGGCTGAAAGAATATTTTTAAATAAAATAATATTTTTACGAATAAAATAATATTAAAATATTAATATTTTATTTATCAGTGAAATTAGCTAAAATAGAGAGTTATAAGACTAATCCAAGTAGGGGAGGGGAAGAAAAGAGGAAAATTGGAAGAAAACCATGAAGTTAAAGGGAACTCGTATGCTTTGACAAAATAAAGCACTATTGAGTAAGTATATATTTAAATATTATGGTGACACGCGAATGAGGTACAAACCTCATTTTATGTTCATACACATGTCAAGGAAGGAAGTAGAAGAAAAATTAAAATTTTTAAAGTGATGGAAGGACTCAATAAAAAAGAATTAGAACGTAGGAGGGCTAAATGGTAATTTTTAGATTTTAGTTTGGTCAAAGCTTACAAAGTAAGCTTGACTTTTCCTTTTTCTCATTTTTCCCCCACATGGCTGGTCATGCACGTGATGTTGTGGGAAAAATTGGATGTAGGTAGGGAAGAAAAAAATGGGAAAAGAATTTAAAGGGGAAAAAGACAAGAATTCACCTATGTTGACTAATCAACTCACCTTGAAACTTCTTGAAATTTCTTCATGCTTCTACTCTTTGGCGGCCATAAAGGGGAGAGAATTTTCTATGTTTTTCTCCTTGACCAGCTGGACACCAGAACCTTCTTTTCTTGGGTCATTCAGCATTTTCTTTTTCCTTTCCTCACCACCGCACTTGCACTTGTGAAGAATTCTTCCTCCTCAACCCGCACCATCACCATAACCAGCCAGCTTTAAATTCTTCTCTCCATTTCTTCCCTTATTTCTTTCCGTTTATCCTTCCCTTACATGAAGTCCGTTTCTCTTCCTTCCCCATAGCTAAGATTGAGGTGCATTGGTGAGATAATTTAAGATTTCTAAGGTAAGAAAGT